TATCAGTGACTTTTGTTTTAGAGTTGTAACAACAACCACAACAACAACAATAATAATAACAACAAAAGAAATAGTAATAGCAACAACAATAACAGCTACAGCAACTAAAACTGAAACTGAAAATGCGGTAAATGTAAATGTGAATACAAATGCAATTGTGGTAAGTGTTGCATAAATAGCTTTAGTTGTTCTTATATCTGCTGCGCCCACCCTGCCCATCTTCTCCTCGCGCCAATATTGCGTAGGTACATGCAAATGTTGGCAAAACGCTGAAGTGCTCACTCAGTTTGTTTTAAATGCAAAAATAATTACTCACTCACTTTGTTCAATTTGCTTCTTTTTCCCATTTTCCGACAGACTCAAATGAATAAATAATATCAGCGCAAAGTTCAAGTTTTGCTGCCGCTGCCGATGCCGCTGTCGATGCCGCTGCCGATGCCGCTGCCTTCACAATGGCGTCACTGCAATGGTGCTCTAGTGCACTGGTTCAGTGAAGGAAGAGTGAGAGTGCCTGATGCCAATGCCGATGCCAGTGTTGGTGATGTTAAAATTAATTTCAAGTGTTAAACGAAGTTTAGCTCGTTTGCTCGTATAAAGTTTAAATAAATTTACTGTTTCGGTTGCTCATCATTAGCAGCATTTGTTGTACCAATTTTGCATATTCGATGCAAAACAGTTAAGACAAGACTCAGCTTCATTTCATGTGCTCTTCACATTATACACTAAATATGTACAGCAGTTCAAAAACAAAAATGAATGGGATGAGGTTTGTGGGGAATATAGAAATGGTTATTTTCAAAACTTCTATAAATAAGTTCGCTTCTATTTTAAAACTTTATTTTTCCTACATTAATTAGCAAATTGAATAAAAACGTATTTCTATCTATTTTCTCTATACAAGACAAACTATTTAACAAAATATTTAAAATGAAAGGAAAATATTTCTCTCTAAAAACTTACTTTTTAATTTTTCCTTTCGTTTGTGATGAAACATTTTTAACACTCAAAAAGAAAAATTATAATTACTTAGAAATTGCTTTTAATGATTTATTTTTTAAAAACTTTTTGTGACTAATAAATGCATAAAGGGTGACAGTCTGTGGAGAGATGTAAGGTCATTAATATTAGTCAATAAACTTCATACCCCACATGGTTACGAATACCACCAACAAATGAAAAAAAATTCTCATTAAAAATATTTTATTTTTATTGAACATTAAATTTTTATTAAATAACTGAACTTAGTTTTTTTGTGAAGTATTTCATACACATACACAATATACTGACTACAGAAGTCCCTTTTGGTCTATTGAGATAATGGCGAGACTATTGAGATTAAAATTCAGACACTTTTGAATACGATGAACGATCTTATATTATATTAGGTTTAAAATTAAGAATACTTTAAGTAAATCATATACATATTGGTTCCATATTTCTCGTTTCTAGTTCTATAAGACAAATAAATTGAAGATTATTTGAAAAAAGGTATTCACATTGTAAATTAGGCTGGTAGGAAGAAATAAAAGATGAGAAAAAACTTTTACAGATGAATAGAGTGATGATGTAGATGATAATTGTTTTTATATTATCTACTATTTCTTCAAAAAGTCCAACTAAATATATAAAATTTAAACATTATTCAATAGTGTTTAATAAATTTAATAATTACCTATTTAAAAAAAAACTAGTTATCTTTCTAGTGCATTCAAGTACTTCTAAAATTATGAAGATTAAGAACTCTTCTGTTAATTTTCACAAATTTATTCCCACATATTTGTATGATAGAATCAATGCATCAAATTCATGCAGATGATAAAAACTCTTCTGTTTTATTAGTAGAAAACTCTACTCCTACTTCAGGCACATGAGGACATATTTGTGATTACATGTTTGAAAGAATTTCCTACAGAGTTCGTTCAACTTTTCGCATTAAATTCAAGTCCTGAGTGCACTTTTTAATTAGAACCAACAACCAGCATCAACTAGGAGGTAGCGTGGCACATTATGTGCATCATTAGCTTCATCCAGCCAAAGTTCCAAAGCACTGGTGCACGCTTTTCACGTAGGAAATACACACTCACGTCTTCTTTATTACTTTTCTAACTCCCTGCACATGTGAAGATACTTCATCTGAAGTATCTGGAGATGAAAAGCAAAGTGAAACGATTATCTATGTGTGTCCAAGTGATGCGGCTTCATTTAACATTTATGCATATAATTACGATTTTAATTATTCAAATGATGGTTATGACTTTTGATGTGATTTATTGATTAAATTAGTTCAACTGATTTATGAACTTTGATTATTTGTAGATATTTATATTGCTACAAATAGAACAGAAATGGCATAGCATTTAAGTGAAACGACTAGACAGATTGTGAGTTCCTTTTTATACCATTTGAGGTATTCAAGCAATGATAATCAGCAATCGTGATAATTATTTCGTTATCAGTAAGAACGTGCACGTACAATTTTTCACTTAATTATTTATATATTTATATATTTAGATAATTATTGTCAAAATTATTGTGCTAATTATAGTATTATCATGATTATTAACAATTTTACGTAGTTCCATTTTGATTTCGATTACTGAAATGGTTTTTTATCATAATTACTTTGTTATTGAGCTAAATACAAACTATCCTAATACGATAATAGCTCAGCAGGAAATTAATAAAATATTTTTTCTGTTTTAAATTATTATACAATAATTATATAACTATTGCATAATAATATAATAAAATGTAATTATAATTTCAAGAATTTTTTGTAGTAAATTTAAAAATTATGTTTTTAACATGACTATTTCGTTCTGCTAGAGCACACTGTTAAATGAATTTATCGACTTGCGATAAGAGCCCATTAAGATCATTAAATAGACATTATTATGATTACAAGTTTAAAAATGATAAATTAATTACACAATTAATTTTATTGTCACTTATAATTTGCTACAATTAAAGACTCGTAGATAACTGGGGAAGCCATAGCAAAAATAGTGACTGATAAAAAAGCTCACAATCAGACTGGTAGAGTCAGTATCAACACAAACTTGAAATGAAGATATGTGAGATAAAACAAAAAACGATGTTAGATTAAAAGATGATAAATTGACAAACTATACTTTTAGAAAGGTAAAAGGAGACTAATATAAGGTTTCATGGGATTAAAATTGTATTATAATTAGAAAATTATTTATTTGTATCAATAAAAGCAAAAATTTTAATAAATTTTTTTTTTTTTAAATTTTTCAATTTTAATAAATTTAAATGATGTTATTTTTTTAAATTAAATTGCTTAAATTTAAAATATTTTAATTAAATTTATTATTAATAAATTTATATTAGTAAGAGTTATTAAACTTAATATTTATTAATAGTTCTAAATAGATTCTAACCTTCAAACTTTTACACGACATATATATTATATATATAAATGTCAGTATAAATATTAACCGGAAAAGTTATAAGCCAGAGTCTTTCAAAGTGGGAACATAAAAGCGATGATACTTGCTTCTTTTTCAACATTGAGAGAGATATTACTTTTAATACTAATATATAAAAGTTGAAATCTTAAAAGCTGGGCACATTGAAGCAGTGCTACATTCTTCATCTTTAGTTTTCAGAGAAATTTACTTTCAACCTGAAGAAATATAAATAGGAAACTTACTAACTGGGGATTTAAAAGCAAGGCAGTATGCTTTTAGGAAGCTGAGAACATAAAAACTACATGTTCCTAGTTTAGTTCTTAGTGAGAAAACTAACAATTTGGGAACATGAAAATAATGCTGTTTGGTTCTGCTTTCCTTTATAACGAGCCAAACTGAGAATATATAAACTGGAAACTTATAAATTGGGAACATAATTACGTTCTTACTTGCTTTTGCTTTAGTGTAATTTGTACACTCGTCTTATTGAACTTCTAAAATCAAATTATTACATGAAACTTATATATTTGATTGCATTTAACTTTCAAAAACTATTTAAATTCAGTCATAACCTTACAGTATATCATATGTAGGTAAGTATTTTTTTTGTAACCTTCTAATGATTTATATATATATGTATATATGTTATATGATGGGGGTTAGTGAATTAATTAAAGAAAATATAAAAATTGTTTGAAAAAATATACTCACGAACTAAATTTGCATATTAATAATTTATTTATTTAGTATTGCAGTAAATAATTTTCTCCCACTCTGGGAAAAATTCTATTACACACATATGTAAATATTAATTTTTTAATATAATAAAATAGATTGCATGCAACTATTTTTAATTGTTTTTAAAAAATCTAGAAAATATTTGTATATTTTATAAATATATTTGTATATATATTTGTATATATTGTATATTAACAAATATTAAAAAGTATTCCCTTCATACTTTTTAATAAGATCCCACCAAGATTTAATAATCATGTCTTAGAAAGAGGCTAATAAAAGCATCAATAGCTTGAAAAATTTTAAAAGATTATTATTTAAAAATGTTTAAACAAATAATTGAATAAATTTAATTTTGTAATCACGTGGTTTATCTTAAGTTTATCGATAATTTATAAATCCAGTCACTTTTCGTTAAATGTATTTAACTGTTATATAATAAATTCAAATGTACATTTTATGCCCAAAAAGGAAAAAACGCGGGAATGAAGATGTTAAATTCGCTAGACAAAATGGCTCCCCACTGTTAACAGTAAAAGTATGTACTTATTTTTTAACAGTTTATGTTAAATGCAATTATGTAAATTATATTTGTCAACCCATTTACCTTGTAAATTCAAGAGCGACAACAACAATAACAAAACCGCTTTTGTCATTGATATTACAACAACAAATAGAACCGTAAATAATTTGACGGAACAAATGCCGTTTGAAAAACAGTTGAACTTTTTTTTATTGACTTTTAAAATATTTAAATGTTTTTTAATTACTATTATTCTATAAGCGTTTCTAATGTTAATTATAAAAATATTTTAAAAAAATCTTTACCAGTAAAAATTTTATTGTTTAACCGCTCGGAAATTCCGCGCAATTGAACGTCAATGACATAAACTGCAACAACAATCAAAACTTTAACTACTACAAAAACAACAACAAGCATTTATTTCAAAAAAAATTTTACCAATTTTAATTACTTTTTTTTTAATTTTTTTATATAATTTTCTATTTATTTCAATGCATTTCTCGCGTAATGTTTACGGCTTTATTCTTATGTAAACCAAAATATTTACATACAATAAATATGTAAATAGCTGTTTTCACTTTTTTTTTGTAAATTAACTTTGAGACGCCAAAGCAACGTTACAACGGAACGTTAACAAAAGCAGAGTTCACACTGAATTTATTTTGAATTCAAATTTTTAATTTCTAATTTAATGTTATATGTTATTATAGTTTTAATTAAATTATTTTAATACAGTATTTTTCTGCAGATAATATTTAAGCATATGAGGCTTAAGTAACTGAGAAATATACTGGTTTTTTGTTTTTAAAAATATAAGCCACGATCATTACTTGAAGAGTTTTAAAAAAAATAGAAAATATTTTCAAATAATTGCTTTTATAGTTTTTATATTGATTGTGCTAGTCACGCGATCAAAAAATTTTTATTTAATTTATATTTTAAACAATTACTTAAAACGAACTGTTTCGGGAAATATTAAGCGAACTTTGCAGTCAATTTTTTTTATAAATTCACCTCCTCCGTACGTTGTACCAACTTCATTTGCGGCACAAAACTGATTAACCGGTCAAACTTCGCAAACGAATTGAGAGCTTTGGATGTTAACTTATTGCGGCGAAATGCTATACAAGATAACAAACGAAAACAATAACAACGAAATCTAGCAAGTAATCCAGCTGCAACAACAACAACTGAGAACCTGCTAAACCTGTAAGCAAGTTCATGTTAACATTCTTGAGTGCAAAAACATCTCTAATCAACGTCGAGTACGGCTTTGTTGTTATTGTAGTTGCATTTGCTACTCTTTGTTTTAACAGTGCGCACTCAATTCTCTTCCAACTCGCCTTCTAGCTGTTAATTCAATTACATTTTACTTTTAATTTCATTTGCTTCCATTATCAAAATGTTGGCAATTTATTTGAAATTATTTTGAATCGATCTAACGAATTTGTGTGTTTGATATGCTTAAAATGTTTAATTAAAATAATTTTTTTTGCTCAAAATGATTTGTACTTTTATCAAGAATGTGCTACACTTCTTCTACTTCTTCTTCTTCTTCTTTGTTTACATACTAAATGTTATTGTTTTCAATTGTTTTGTGCTTACGTAGTAAAAATTTATCTCACACCGCGACAAGGCAATTTATTTTTAGTGTCAATTACATGCTTTCTTTATTTATCAGTGTTTCTTTGCGTTTGCTGTCTGCTTGTTTTTTACTATTTAATTACCGCAAAAATTAAAAAAAAAAATAACGCGAAATCTATGTTTTTTAATTGCCTTCAATGTTTTTCGTATTTCTCAGATTAGCTATTTCAACAGCTGCTATGAATGAATGAGTCTTCTGTTAAATTATACCTAGTGAAGACATTTGGAACTATGACTACAGATCTATTATAGAACTATTGTAGAGCTTATATACTTCTTATTTTGTTAAAAAACCTATCTGGTCATCGAATTAAATTCATTTCGTATTTGTTTCTGTTAAGAGCCGGGCATTAACCAATTACATACTTCAGTGTGTCCTCATCTTCACAACAGTACCTGATTAGATCTTATATAGAGATCCCCGTAGTTGCGGTTAAAATGCGATGAGTTCGCTTCCGAAAGCTCATTTTTAATTGTTTTGTTTTAAAAGAATTATAACTCTGATAATCATATAAATGTTTCAAATTAACAATGTAATGAGTTTTTGTTTCCACTGAGTGACTGACATTTATTGTATTTATTCACTCATCATATATTCGACATATAAGACACATATTCACAACTGTCTTTAAAACTTACGGATACGGTTCTTGTCATCATCGAGTCGGACCGTAACTAAAAAACCCTACACCCATATAGGGTTGTTCAACCATTGGGTAACTGTCCTAAATCGGAAGTCTTCTCGCAGTAACAATTTTTATTGTTATGTGTTTTAAGTACTTATTTGTATTATTTATACTAAAAATTTTATGGCAGCAAAAGTACCTTTATTTTCTAAAATATGGTTGATTTTAGTGAAGATGAAGCTGTCTGTTCTGACACAGGCACCATTTTAATATCATAAACCTGGTTAACAAGACCTTTATGAAGTGTGTATATAATTGTTAATTGGTGGAAAGCACTTTTTATGACTTCTTATGACATTCATTCAGAATGTGGAACTCAGAACCGGTTACCTTTTTCGCTCACTTTACTTTGTCTGGTGAAGCTAATACAATAATTTTGAAATTTAAACAATAAGAAACATACTTTTTGAACTGCGATCGATAAATACATAAATTGGTGAGTTGTAAACATAAGGGTTAAGGGTTATTTCTTAATAGTCTGCTAAATTATTTCTTGTTTGAACTAAGTAAACATTTCTTTCATTCAAATTAAAATAATAACCTTCGTAGCTTGCAGAATTTATGTATATGTTTATTATACTATGGCCGTGTAAACAGTAAATAGTAAATTATGTCGATATAACAGCGAATGTTGGTATTTACTAGAATCTCGAGTAGTGCAAATTAGATAAAAATTAGGTAAATAAGGTGTTACCATTGTGAAAATTTTATAAAATGTATAAATTTAAAAACATTTAACCAAAAATAATAAATAAGTGCAATAAATAAATATCTACATAAGTTCAGTGCAAAAAATCCATAGGAAATTTCGAATTACTTTACCTCAATTTACTCAAACTCTCACACGGCTTATGAAATCTATAACTAAAAAAACCATAATTTATGAAAAAAAAATTAATACACTTAACAAAAATATCTATTAATATCTAAGTATTAAAATTATACAGAAAAGAAAAATTTTTTATGTATTCTGTCTATTCCATTATATTTAATTAATTAATTATCAAAAGTAACTGTATTATTGGAAACCTATAAAATTCATCAGCAACTATATACATTGAGCAATACTAATTCAAATATCGTTATCCTTGTGCAAATATGTGCGATATTAAAAAGAAGAGCACCCCCTTAACAATGTTTATTTAAAGCTTTCTTACTCCTGTCACTGCAACATTTTATCTACTTCGTAGTTAGATAGATTTAAACAGTTTTAATAAAGTAAAAACTCATTACTTTTGCCTTTAAGCACTAAATTTGAAACGGACACATTTTCATTACTCATGCAGTGTGTCCATGACCAGGACTGCAAGCACCAATTGCTGCAGGCAATCTGCAAATCGTAGAACACTTAACATGTATTGTGTTCTCTCCTTTCGTTTCCCATTTTTTCTTTATTTCTACTTTATTTTTATTTCATTTCATGTATTTTTTTTATTTCATTTTTTTATACGAGTATTTCATTTTTATTTTTCCGCTTCATTTTCTCCTGCTGCATTATTACAATTTCAAATCTGCACATACTAGTGGAAGCTTGTATGTGGAGTAGTCGAAAGGAGTGCATGCATGTGTGTAGGTATGTGTATGTGTATGTAAGCACAATTATTTATGGTCTTCATTTGTTTAACAACAGAAGCTTAAGTTGAGACTGAAAAGAAGAAGAAGCATAAGCAGAAGCAGAAGACGAAGACGAAGTTGACTTGAGTTGGTGAAGTAGGAATGAAGAAATGTTGTGAAGAGCACAGAAGAATCTGTTTTGTATGAAAGCATGAAAACAAAACTGAAGTAAAGTACTATTAAAATGCCAAGCATATGCAAAGCATAACACAACATAGCCTTTAACACACACAAGGCAAACCCACACATACACACACACACATACACAGCTACCCAGCGGGACTTTCAGCGCTGAGGGAATCGATTCCCTCAGCGCTGAATGGTAATGCCTAGCGCTGATTATTCAAATGAAACTCCTAATTACTTTAACACGTGCATGTCATTGCGGGCAAGCGCTGAATCGTTCGATTACCTTTTCAAATTTGTAATGCAACATTTCAGCGCTGACATGCTCGCTTACCTTTTCGAATTTGTAATGCAACATATCAGCGCTGACATGTTCGCTTACTTTTTCGAATTTGTAATGCAACATATCAGCGCTGACATGTTAGCTTACCTTTTCGAATTTGTAATGCAACATATCAGCGCTGATATGTTCGCTTAAATTTTCAATTTTACCTATGCTATTAATTTTTAAATAAAATACTATAAATTTTTTTGAATAAATTATATTTTATATTTATGTTTTATACAATTAAAATATTAATATTAACATAAAAAAATATAACATACTTATATAGATGAATATTTTTCTGGAAATTGTTACTAACACCTTGAAGAGATTTCCAGACTCGACTTGATCACTTGTTCCGGCTTACCATCTGTACTTAAAGCATCTGTAAATACAAAAGTATGTTATTGTATACGCTAAAGTTAATTATGTACAATATACCATACCAAAAAGTGCTGCTGTCACATTCTCTAATGCTCTTAAGAACTTCTTGCCTTGGGTACCATTCTCCAAAATTCCAGGAAATTTTTCGCGTAATTGATTGTTTTTTAATAACGCGTCTCATTGATGCAGTCTATAAATAACGTAATAGATGAAAAGAAATGTATGAATTAGTAAAATTGTTACATGTGAATATATTAATAAGTTGAAATTGAAAGTAAGAAACATACATATATAATTTAACTTACAACTACTTCAACTGCAGTGATTTCTTCATTAAATTGAATTAAATCCTCCTCAGTTTGAATTGTAAAATTTTCCAATTGAAACAGCTGACTACATGACTACAGCTGATTACCCCTTGCTTTAGAATGACTGCATTCGCAGCACATTGTTCAATTAATCGTTCTTGACGCAGTAGCTTCTACATAATACAAAACAAAAATTACAATTATCATTTTAAATATATTTACTTAATTTTGCATATACTTACAGTGAGTTTATGTGAAATTACAAATTATATTTTATTTATATTTTTGTTTTTTATTTGATTTTAAAAATTAAAATTGTTCACTGTTCGCACTTCACTAAAATCAAAAGCAGACTAAATGTATACAATGTAGGCAAAACAAGAAATTCTTAACTCATATGCTTTTCTTCTTCATTCTTTTATAATTTCAACCCCGAAATTGCCTATGTCAAACACAAATGTCGAAAACAAAGAAAAATAAAAACGAAGAGCTATTACCTCCTCGCTTACTTTTTCAGCGCTGGCATAATGGTGCCGCTGGGTAGTTTAACTAAAACTTATCTACAATGTAGTAAAGATGTTGGTTTCAACTCATAAAGTGAAGCGAATTTTCTTTTACAAGAAAATATAATTTTTTCAAACATACACTTTAATGTACACACACAGAAAGAAAAAATATAAATCATTTATGCACACAAACGCACATATGTGAAAGTATATTAACTTGTATTTTTAACTCCCAAGTGTATAAAAATAAATAATTTAAGGCATAAAATAACGCTTTTGTATGTCGCACTTGACTGTTTCGAGCCTAAAGTGTCTGTTGTGTACGGGCAATACAGCTTTGAAAATATGTACGTAAGCATGTGTACGTTAATACACATATACAAATACATGCATGCATATGTAATTTGAATACGTATAAAAGGCACGCAATGTGTCAGTATAGAATTGAAAGGCGTGTAGGCCATTGTAACACATGCAACACAA